GTTAGAGATGTGGGTTGTGTGTGTCAGTGAAATATCAAGTTGGTAGCACTGAACGCATAAATGAATGACTGATTGAAACTAATTACTAAGATACAAAAAGGGAAAAATTTGTTTATAAGATTGTTTACAATCTTATAAACAAATTCTGCCACACTCTTCTGCCACACTCTTGACATATATGAACAATTCGTGATATTCTTTTTCTGACTGTATCATGCCACCATTTACACCTGAATTCAAGTAAATATTCACAGTCATACATGACTGTCAGGATAACAACAGAATGTCTTGGTTGAAATCAAACATCACCAGAAAATACCTGTCTTACAAAAGTTCATACCTGGTAAATAATGTCACCTCGACGTCCGAAGGAATCAGCTGAGTCGCGACGTGTTAAAACTGAACACAACCAAACGCATCGACAAAGTCACTATTATTGAAAGCTGTATCAAAACAGATACAGTACGCGCGACTCAGCCGCGAACTGTGTCAAACTTCAGACGAGTTAAGAGTCACTGTGTCTGATGTTTCTGAGAGTTCAGATGTAGGTCAGATCTCACGGCGAATCAAATAAGACCTGAAGCTGTGATTCATATCGATGTTATTGATACTCCACTGTCGATACCGACAGAGCTTCACCTTCCCTACCGGTTTCTACTGCGTCAATTAGTCCGTCCTACGGAATGACCGAGTTTAGTTGTACGCACTGCGCATGTCACTGAGGAGTAGCATAGGACGAAGCCATTTTCCCAGTGGACAGGGTTCAATCTTGCAGCATGTTCAAATGGTACAGTAACAAACTTTCATAAAATAAATCATGTGTTCCATTGGCTATAATTGTCCTCAGCACGACAATTTTAAGTAGAGCTATTTTACTCCTAATTTTGATGCTACTTTGCTATTTTGTAACATACATATTTGTAGTGTTTACTTTTGTCTATAGGGTTTATTTACTGTTCACTTCTCTCTGTCTTGTATGCTGGTGTTAAAGACAAATTTCTAATTTGACGAATTGAATGCACTCTAAAGTAAAATAAATGCAAAAAACAAACCAATCTCAGTAAAAGAAAAAGTAAAATAAAAGCACTCAGTTATGTGTTTCACCAAATAGGGTTTATTTTCAATCAAAAACCAACATATTTCTCAGCCACTGAGAAAAGAGTTATTTGGTGACTGGTACTTTACTGTCGGTATTGATGACAGGAAAGTTGGGGAGCATTTGTCCTCCCTCAGCCCCCCCCAAACCCCGTCCAGCGTCATCTGTAAATCAGACACTGGTACAAGGATTGGGAGAGACAGAGATGGACGGTCAGACAGAGAAACAGAGACACGGTAACATGTTATGAAATCAATTGTTGAGAAAGTTTGGATGAGCACTGATAGAAAAGGTCAGTCATTAGCAAAAGAAACAAAGTATGCTGAGAACAATTCAAGCTGACGAGACCAAAAAAGAGCAAGAGGACATTCAGATTTATGAGAAAGCAATGAGAGATTAAGGAATATATCAGTTTGCAAATATTCTGGGTTAAGTACCGTTGAAAGTCTACACCATTTTAAAAGGTCACATCATTGTTCAAATGTGTTGTTCATCATTAAGAAATTACAGAAAATATCAGTACAGAAATTAAAATAAAATCTGTAGTTACCACAAAAGCCTCTCAGCAGCAACATTCTTCATTATCCAAATTGACAAACTCTCAAAAGTTTTCATTATACTTGTAAATTCATATCTGTCCGTGCAACTATCTTTTTCTTCTCTGAAGCTTCATCTGCTCTGATGTCTTACCTCAGAGTTATTTCCTCTTTAGCAGAGATGATATGCTCTCACGTCTGCACCCTCCATCTCTTGCTCTCTTCATCTTGACTGTCTTTATTTAGCTGTGCACTCTCTTCTTCCTGCCTACCCTCTGACCTGTCCTGACTGCTTGTCCCTCTCTTCGCTCCGCACTCCCTCTATCTATCCCTTGCTCGGCCACCTTATCAGCCCGAAATCACTATTCTCCTGATCGTGAGCCAATAGGGAGCAACACAGCTGGGTGAGGCACTTCCTCTGTGACAGGAAACCAGCAAAGAACTCTCAGAGACACACACACACACACACACACACACACACAGACAGAGAGAGAGAGAGAGAGAGAGAGAGTTTGGTGGACTCTAAATGTGGTGCAGAGTTCAAAATGGCTACCCCTCTCTGAAAAAAAAAGATGTTGTGTTCATTAAGGAAAATTAAATGTATCTGAATTGTTCTTATTGTGTATTTTCTATGTTGCTATATAGTAAAAAAAAAACAAAAAACAGTGACCTAAACTGTGTGCTAGAATTGTACCTGACTACCTTTACTTTTGTTTATCAGGCCAACCTGCCATATGCACAATATTTTAGTCATTTTGGATTAGAAAAGGATCTGTCAATTGCTGGAGAAATATTCCGGATTCAATACAAGTTAAGCTGAATCAGCAGCATTCATGCATGGCATAATGCTGATTAACACAGAAGTCATTTTGACCTTTGTTGTCTTTTAAAAAATCAACATTAGGGTGAGATGCTTACAATGGAAGTAAATGGGGCCAATTTTGGGGGGATTTAAAAGCAGAAATGTGAAGCTTGTCATTTTATATCTATTTTTATATTTATTATAAATGTAATTTTATTTATCTTAATTTTTCTGTTAAATTTGAGATGTATGTTGTTAAAATCATAATTTTTAACAGTAATTTTAGTTTTAGGGTTTACAGCATTACATTTCATGGTGACAATGTTATAAAATTGGATATAATTTTGCACAGAAATGGTTAGCAAGCTCTTTTTCACACTATAAAATTGTTTTAACTTATTGTTTGTCTTGATGCTGTACTTTTGAAACAGTGAGTATTTTTACATTTACAGATTGACTTTCACCTTCTTTGTAAGTGTTTTAAACAGTAGTATTTGTTTTTTTTTTGTGGTAATCAACATTATGCCACAAATGCTGTCATCTGAGCTTAACTTGTACTCAAACATAAATGTCCTGTTAATATCTAAACAATAGTAAAATGAATCAGAATTTGTATCTGTCACATTCAGCTGTTCCAGGGAGGTTTGCATGAGAAACAGAGGATGTGTTTATCCACTTGAGAACCACAGGCCAAGACTGTGTGCAGAGGGCAAGAGATGAACAGATAGAGGGAGGGGTAGAGATGGAGCGATGAGTTTGAGGGAGGAGACCCCATGTTCACACAGACTAGATAAACATGCTCTGATTGGGGACTCGAGGCCTTATGGGAATAGAAGAGACGTGACTATTATAGTGACCTCTGCTCAAACGAAGAAATTTGCGTGCTTTGCCCTCCCGGTCTCCACAGCTCGTTAACATCGGCCTTAATTAAACTCATCAAGAGTAGTGCACCGGAAATTTGGAGGATAAATCTCAGATATGGGCAGAGTCAGACCTCTAAGTGTATCCGTTCCAGTTTCGAGTGCCATAAGAAGTGCCAAGGACAAACAGGGAATTGTGTTAAACCAAGTTTCATTTCAATCTATCTTTGGTTATTATATACAAATATATAACCATGTGGCAATATTTTCTATATTTGTAGTTCTGGTATGTGAGATGAAAATATCTTATGACATCAAAGTTATTCATAACTCCTGTACTGTCTGAGTCCTTGTGAGAATAACTTTGTCAGAACATTATTTTCAATGGGTGTGGTGATGTAAGTAACAAAAACAGGAAATCCACCAGCACACAGGCAGGAAATGCTACTGTTCAGTGACAGTAATAAGTAAACACAACCCAAACGGCCGCTAGTGAACCAATTCACAGTTACTCTAGAGAAAAAGATAAAGATGAGGGGAAATTAAAAAAAAAAATTCATAGAAGAGTGTTCTGGGATATGCACCAAGAATTAATACAAATACTTTGCATGATGAATACAAAAAAAAAAACACAGACTGTTGTTCTTTTCAATGTAATATTTTTATTTCAGTGTTTAGTAATTCCACAAAAGGGTTTACACTAAAATGTTCACAATTCTAAAGATAAATACAGTAATGTTATCACTCTCTCTTTCATATTCACACACATTCAAACATACAAATCTACAGTGAGTTCATGGGATCTGACAGGAAAAAAACCTATGAATGTTACAGAGTGATGAAATAAAGCAATAATCAAATCACAGTAGTGTCCATTTAACAATGTACAGTAATAAATCATTAACTTAACTTCAGTATATTACACATGGTCAGTATGTTTGATTGTCTTTGCAGCCTTTTGCAATAATGTATTTTGATTGTCACTGGCTACAGCAATTAATATTCAGTTTTGATACTTTGTGCACTTGATTGATTGTCACTGCTTAGCTTGTGTATTAGCTTGATTGTCATTGGTTTCTCCACGTCAGTGCAATATTATGATGGGCTGGTAACTGATAGGCTCATAACAGACTTCTCAAAATCTATAATTTTCAATACCACCATCAATCTACATTACTGTTCAAAAGTTTGGGGTTAGTAAGATTTAAATAATAATAATACTTTTATTCGGCAAGGACACATTAAATTGATCAAAAGTAACAGTATAGACGTAACATTACAAAATATTTGTATTTCAAATAAATGCTGTTCTTTTGAACTTTCTGTTTATCAAAGAATCCTGGGGAAAAAATGTATCACAGTTAGGGTTATAACAAAAATATTAAGCAGCAAAAGTGTTCTTTATATTGATAATAAGAAATGTTTATTGAGCAGTAAATCAGCATATTAGAATGATTTCTGAAAGATCATGTGACACTGAAGACCGGAGTAATGATGCCGAAAATTCAGCGTTGCGATCACAGGAATAAATCTTATTAATATACTTTAAACTATACATATTGAATACATATTTAAATAATAATACAGGTTATTTTAAATTGTAAAAATATTTCAGCATTTACTGTATTTTTAATCAATAAATGCACCCTTGGTAAGTATAAGAAACATTAAAATATCTTACCAAACCCAAACTTTTGAACGGCAACTACAGAAGCAGTTTTAAAACATCCTCATTTTTGGTCACATGCAGTTTATCACATTGATTGTAAGTGGCACATCAATTAAACAACATTTTTCGTTGCATCAACATGAGGCAAGGTGTTGGCCTCAGCTAATTTTTTTAGATGTGCACTGTTTTAACTCCAATAGCTGAGAATGTTAACCAGACTAGTTTGTGCTATTGTCTGGCATGGTGCTGAGTAGGCCTATATAACTGTGCAGATCAAAAAGGCTGGAGTCCCTTTTCTCTTCCATCTGTGCAGGTTTGTGAGGTCCACATTTTTTTCACAGGATTATGGCTTACATAGACTGCTTCCCTGATGTGTACATAATCTAAATAAGTAGGGTTTCCTGACACACGTTTTGTTAAATAATTTGCTCAAAGTTGCTGATTGAAGCTCTGCTGGTTTTGTCTGATAATGATAAGGTGTGTTTTTACTGCAGTCGCGTCCAGTACTGACCCAGACCTTGTCCCAGCTCCTGATCGCCGCCTTGAACTGCAGTCTGCCCTGCTGCGGAAACACCGGGAAAGAATCCTGAAAGAAACACAAGGCCTTACCAGTGCGTTCTTCACTCGTGGCCACCTCTGATGACTTATTTGTAACACAGAAGGAAACCACAAAGGGGCTAAACCACATTCACACACTATTTGCTCATGCAGTGTTTTAGAGTATTTATTTGCGGTGTGAGGGTGGAGTATGTTACAATACTGCACTCACCTGTGTTTGGGCTGGCCGTGGGTGGGGGTGGGAGGTGGGGAGAGGTGTAAGATGAGGAGTCAAATTTACGGGAAAGATGGGGGAGGGCAGAAGGAGAAGGAGGCAACATGCAGGAGTAAGTTGGAGTGGACTGGGAGGGCAAAGACTAGAGGAGAGAAGAGCAAATAAAGATAAAAGATTAATCGCATTTCATTTAGAGTATCAACAGATTCAGTAATAAAATCATTTGACAGCTCATTGTGCGAGAAACACCCCTCATAAGTTTACTCTGGGGTTTTTATGATGTTTTAGCTCAATGTGCCACAGTCCTATCAGAGCAGCACACTGGGTGTGTTGCTATGACATAATTTAAAAGAGTGCATGAGGTCATTAAATATAAAGAAGATATATTTGTTTGACTAAAGGGAGCGGATTTATGGACTATATCGGACCTGTTGAACTGTATACGTGCGAGTGATTATTTTTAGAAACTACAGCAGGCTGCGTGTAATTCCATCAGAAACACTAGAGGACGCTTTTATGCTATTTAAAATGATTTTGAATGTCAGGCGGACTCATGGTTTTACCTTTCAGTTGCGTAATAGGTGCTTGTACTAGAACTTTTTGTCTGCATTATTTACTATTGTAGAAAGCACTTTGTTTTGAATGCTTTAAAGAAACAAAAAGGCGCATGCTGTTATGTTTGAGAGGGCATCATTTTTTAATTAAGACATTAAAAACAAATATTGTCTTCGATAGAATAAATAGTTTATTTTGTATACAGTAGCCGACTGTACTTTAAAAGAGTTCTCCCACAAACAGATATCACCGTTTTGTGCACCCAGAAATCGTTTTGTATTATTGTTATTATTGTTATTTAAAAAAAACAAAAAAAACTCGCCTTCACTAATTCAGTGAGTTAATTTAGCGGGGGATTCTAAATTCGAACGGTCTTTAGTTTGTGAGATTTGTAAACAGAACCTGTACACAACCCGGTGGCTCGTGCCTGACTAGAGCTTTAAATTGATATTTCACCCCAAAATTAAATATCATTAGTAGTCATTATTTTCCCCTCTCGCGGCGTTCAAAACCTGTGTGACTTTCTTAAGTGGAACTCGAAGTTATTTTGAAGAATGTTGGTAGGCATTTGCAACATCAAACTTTTGCTTTTGCGCGCCACTAGGTGTCAGTATTATAAATCAAAACTAAAATTACTGGGTACATTATTCAGTACTGATGTAGAATTACCAGTGGCGGCTCGTCGGGGGAGGCAGGGGAGCCACAGCTTCCCCATAATTTTGAGGTGAAAATGGGAGGACGACGATTTAATGTTAATAAAATTCACAATTCATTTCAGTTCATGTCTCAGAATGTGTATTTTTTTGTTTGTAATTTCAGTTGTAATATCATAACGTGAAAGCGTCGCTTTTCTATCGCGAATCTGCCGAATCTGCTGATGTAATTACAACCGCTAATGATAGAGAAGGGGAGGGGGAGGCCGGGGGAGAGGTGAGCTCTCGTGCCTCCGTTGGTAAAAAAATTAGCCAATCACCATCGAGTGTTCACTTTCAGCGCTGAGGAGTGTTGAGAAAAGAACCCTGGCAAGGGAGGCTAGCCTCCTTCTGATATCAACCAATCATCATAGAGACGTATGTTACGTGATATTAGTTTGAACGTCTGCCGCTGCTCTGATAATGTACATATGTACCAAGTACTTATGACGAGTAGCGATATTGAATATTTGATTGCCAACAGATTTACCAAGCTAATATACAAATTTAGGGAAAACAGCCTAAGCTGGATATAGGCTACAGCAGTCGGCTTAATTAAAT